ATAATACCAGGTTTAAATTATTCCAGTACAGTAGGACAATGACATTTAAATAAAGCGAACATACAGTTCTTGCCAGGCCAGCGCTACTGTACTGACTTTATGTAAACACAGTATGAAGTTACACAAATTATATTTACGCGGAAAAATATGAAGCTATAAAATGACTAAATTATATCTTTAGCTACAATTTTTTTTATAACTATATTCATATTGTATAGTTGTTATTAAAATAGTTATTTTTTTCAATTCAAATTTTTATTTGAGTTGTTTTTTATTTAACACTAGCTGTCGCCCGCGACTTCGTCCGCGCGGGATTATAAAATAGATGTCGGCCGATTCTCAAACCTACTCAATATGCTCACAAAATTTCATGAGAATCGGTCAAGCCGTTTCGGAGGAGTATGGGAACGAAAATTGTGACATGAGAATTTTTTATATAAGATAATATCATCTCAGTCCGAGCATAGTAACTGTTAAGATCCCGGAGGTATTAAAGAAAATAAGCAATTAATAACAATATTATAAGGTCTAAAATAGCGTGACCTTGTCAACGGTGCAAAAGCAAAACAGGATATAAATACAAACACAAATTACATGTCACTATTACTCAGACATGTTATGTTGTATTATAAAAAACATTAGGTCATTGACCGAGAGGCAACTTATAAAAACCCTAAATTGAATTTATTATTACAATAACTAAATCTGTAAAACCATTTATAGTACAGCAACAACATTACGATGCATTTTAGAAGAAAATGTTGACTATGGCCTAATCACCTTTAACTTAGGATAGGCTCTGAGCCCCTCGGTGGGGACGTATAGTGAGCTAATGATGATGATGATGAAATAGTTGTCGGGACTCACAAGATTCAGATTAAAAATAATTAATATTTTAACACTTTATTTCCCTCAAATTTCAGTATTTAATATATAATAATAATTCAGTATTGTAAAGTTGGCAAATATGTTCCCGAGCTTTAATATAAAAAGGAGGGGACATACAAAAAGGATTTTTCCCCTTTCCTACATCTCCTTTCCATTGCCAAATCCACCTCCCCTTCTCAGTAAGTCAAAAATTACTTTATAAGTGGAAAACAAACTTACCGTCTAGCACCTTTCGTCAGTTTGATATCAGCTTGCTTTGTCTTAACAATTTCATTCATCTCTTTGACATCCTCGCTGTAGTCTAGAAGTTCTGTCTTCAATACCTGAATACTTTCCTTTTCCAATAACAGAGACTTCTTCTGTTCAGCTAGAATTATATTATATAAATACATATTTTTACCAATAAAAGTGTTGGTCGCTCAGGTGATAAAATTAGTAATCTAGATGTTTGGTTGTAAGGTTTAGTCCTAAGATAAACTAGGCTTAAACATCTTGGTGTGGACATGTATGATATGACAAAAAAAGATTAAAAAAAGTACAATTATGTTTTTGTAAGATTATATGAATATTGCATCATCTCGAATGTTAAGATTAATTTCATTAATTTTTAACTTTAATATGTTTTGACAGTTTTGAAATACAGACAAAATCTTACTAATATTATAAATGCCAATCTTTGGATGTATGGATGGATAAATAATGGATATTTTTTTTGAAAACATCTCCGGAATGGCTCAACGGATCTTGATGAAATTTGGTACAGATGTAGAACATAGTATGAACGTACACATAGGCACATAATTATTAAGTTTCTTTAAATTCCGCCTGGACGGAGTCGCAGGCAACAGCTAGTTACTAGTACTCCTATATTATATAACTTGAATATTGGTTAATTAGAATCTCAAATCTAGGCTTTATGTCTGGAGTCATTTAAATTATTGAAAAAGTTATAGTTTCTTATTGTTTAAATGTAAAAAGGTATATAAAATGAACTACATATGTAGTGAGGAATGTTATAAAATGTTATATGGCTCTTATTTATTACATATATGGTTCAAAACACACGGAGATTTCCTCTTTTATAAATACGACAATGTGCCATTCACTTTCTTAGTAATAACGTCATAAACATGAACTACCTTGACATTTGTGTCAATGTTTTTACATTTGTAATATGGCACTAATCCAAAATACTGTAATACATGTAAAAACACTGAAACTCATTAAGTCCCTTCAGTTATGTAAAAACACTAATGTATATTAAAATAAATTTTGTAGAATTTTTAACGTAAAAAAATTTAACAAGAAAAACAATCAGGTTTTATAGTTTTAAACTACTATGATTTTTCAAAGACACTGCTCTGAATATGTTATTTTCATGCATAAAATAAATATAAGGTTAGTTCTACGTTAATAAACAAAAAAATACTCACCTAATTTTTCTAAAGCATCTTCAATAACTTCCAAGTCCTTGCCAGACAAACCTTCTTCGGACTTTTCCTTTGGTTTTGGTACATCAATAGCTATAACAGGGGCTGGATCAACCATAACTTGTTCTGTATCCAATTCAATGATTGGTGCTTTATCAACAAGTTCTTCCTTCTGTTTCTTCTTTGCTTCAAGAAGCTGTTTCTCCCTCTCCGCTTCTAAGAACTCCTTCATGTCTTCCTTGATCTTTTGTTCTTCCAATTTAATTGCTTCCGCTTTAGCCTGAAATTATTTGAAAATAAATAAATGTACGAAATGCTGTCTTATTACTTCAAACACATTAGAAAATGTCAATATTGTAAAAAAGACAATTGCAATACACAAAAACATTTTCTTTATAAGGAAAAAATTAACAAAAATTCATTGAAAATCTATGCTCATTTGTTAAAAAAACGACAATATTAATGAAAAGTAATTTTTCAATATGTATAAAAGATTACAAAATTACCTTGAAGTCCACTTTGCCTTCTTTTTCACCAATAGCAGCTTTAGTTTGGGTAACAACTTGTTCAGGTAGTGCAGATATTGTGGCCTTCAGTTTGTATGTCGTTGGCACATGTTCTGGCACCATAAGGGCTCGAGACAACAAAAGCAGTGACGGTGGTACCTTCTCATTTAATGACAAATCCAGCCAATTCCTCAACTCCTTGCGCAACCTCTCCTCAGATACACCGTAAGCCCTCATACCTCTCGCTCTACAAGCCTGTTGGAGCTCACTGAAGTTCAAACTGTCCACACCCTCCTTTGCAATCATTTTATCATCAGCCGCTAGTGATCGTAGCTTCATTTTTAGATTAAACCGTAACATAGCACTTGTACCAATAGTTGAAGCATTTAACACTTTACACAAAGCAACCAAATGTGGCCTTTGAAGTGAATCCAATGTTATCTCATCCTCAAACAGCTTAGAGAATTTCATTATTTCCTCACTTGTTGCAACATCACCTGAGGTCCTTATTCTATTAAAGAAGTTCGAAAACTCCTTAGCCAGTTCTGAATGCCTATTACTAGCCTGTGGCGCCATTTGATCCAATGTTTCTTGAAAGAACTTTGCCATTTCTAACTTAACTTTTAAGTGTTGTTTTAGCTTAGCCTCCTTTTGACTTCTGCTTTCAAAAGTAGATGGCAACATGTTTGGGAAAAATTTAATAAATAATGGTAATGCAAACTCCAAAAATGGAACAACTATGAACACTATAAAAGGCACCATTCTAAAGAGATCACCAACGGTAGTGACCATCAATCTGTGTTCACGACGTGTCAAGGATTTGCCTTTTAATATTTGGAATAGCAGAGACGTTGATATTCTTATTTCTATAAATAGTAACCTAAAACCATGGTAGTAATGAACAAGCTCATCCATTATACGCTGCTTTAAACTTTTCTTTTTAACCTCTTCCTTTTTGGGGAGTTTTTCTTTTTCTTCAATGCCTTTTTTAATTGTCTCCACTGTAGCCTCAACCTTAGAGGATGGCTTAAGAGGTTCTTTCTCATAACATTGATTGGTAGTACAAATATATCTGAGATGTGGTGGATAGCCAATAATTTGAGAATTAAGAGGCTTCTGGGTATTATCATGCTGCAATCTGAGTGGATGAGTTGTGTAATATGACAATGACCTTGAAAGTGTAATATATGGAACATTCTGATACTGTTTACACTCCCATATTATATCTGTAAATAAACGAAACAACCTATTATAAGTCTTGTTACCAACAATATAATTGATATTAAAAAATATAGAAAACCATGAAGTTATGGTTTTTTCCAAATGAAATTGTGTTTAAAATATGTTTTTCATTTATTAAATGTACAGACCGTAATATATTTGTTTTAAAATTAAAGCAAAATATAGTATTTATTATGTAGTTTCTAATAATACTTCACAAAAACAACATAAACCTAAGAGATTATGGTCACGACCTTGTAATAAGACAACCTCAATCTTATCGTAAAAATTCACAATTATTAGATCTTTTATAGAATGACTTCCTAGTTATGCCGATATCAATGAAGTCATGGGATAATCAATCAAGTAGGTTTTTGTCTCATCTATAAGGTTATGTGAATAAAACATTTCACCTGTGTTAAAGATATTTAAAATCATACTCACTCGATCGTTTTAGGCAACGATAATGATTTAAAATGATTCTGTTCATTTTGAACTTTTATTTTCTTTAAAAATGAACTATATTATTACTGTTTTACATTAAAAACAAAATCACCTACATGCACCATGACAGATCAGAAGTTTTTAACAGATAATAAAAGAGTGTATAAGTAAGAAATGGTACAAAATGGTAAAAAAATGATTAAAAATATGACAACCCTGTCTTGAGGGCGCTACAATCTTAATTGACATAACACTTTTCTCAAACATCAATTCATCTACGAACTGAAGTCATTTATTTCAAAATAAAAAAATACACCGCAACAACAATCTGATCTGCTTTACACATGCTAGCAGTGAGCTGAAATTCAGGTCACAAGTTTTACTGCTACGGCGGCTCACCGTTGATCTTCTGAACAAACATGTTTTTTTTTACATTGTACTAAACCGGGTAAGAATTTTCACTGGCAACACTGATGACAACTGACAACAATGAATCTGTCATTCCCTCACTGAAGTGTCTGTGAGATTTTGAGGTTACAATAACGAAGGTGTATCTAATTTGTTATGTTATTCTTATCATTTAATATATTGTAATATCATAGAAGACAGATCCAAAACACCTCTGGTGTGTATAATAAATTACCCACAATCTCATGTTTGTCGTCATAAAGTAAAACCGGTAGGCATGGGAATTTTTCGTTTTTGTTTACAATCTCCAATAAAAAACGTTTTAAATAACATAACTCGAACTTTATCTACCAGTAAGTCGAACAACTTTGTATTTTTTATAAGATATACTTCTTACCCAACTAATATTAATATTTTAGTGGGGATGCAAAAATGTTTTTGTTTGTAGATCCTTTTTACTATGATACCCTAATTTTGTTGTTGAGAAGTGTCTTCCGGCAAATTTTTAAAATATTTTCGGTAGACAGACTTGTCCGATTATTAACACTATAACTTTTCCTTACCTTCATTCTTAGTGAAGTACTGACTCAATTTGTTTGCTTATTATGAGTTAATTTACAAAAATGTAGTGATTGTATATTTCTTAAATGATAGGCAAAACTATATTTCAGTCATGACACATAAAGAGATATCAAGAAGGATAGTTTGGGTGGATTTGGAAATGACTGGTCTGGATATAGAGAAGGATCATATCCTTGAGATAGCATGTCTTGTGACAAATGCTAACCTTGACATTGTAGCTCCTGGACCAAACATAATTATACATCAGCCTGATGAAATCCTTAATGCTATGAACCAATGGTGTATTAATCAACATGGTGAGGTATTAAAAGCTAAACTTACTTTAATTTTAAGTTTAAAAAATTTAATAAATAGTTTATATGTTCTTCCAGACTATGTTCTATGTCTGTGAAACATTTCATAAAAATCCATTGAACTGTTCTAGAGATACCATGTAATAAACATTCAAACATTCACATTTATAATATTAGTAAGATTTTCAATATGCATGAAACACTTGAAGTTAATATCTTTATTAGAGATATTGTTTGGTTTTAGTCATCTTATAAATGTTTACACTACAAAAAAATAAGGCAAATAAGCATAACATGTTGTTATACAATTATTTTGTACCTAACCTATTAACACATTCAATGCTGCATATTTGTCTCGAAGTTATAAATTTATACAAAAAAATGTACATGGAATTGGAATTGAGAATAAAAGCAAAAATTCTCTTACAGACTGGATTGACAGAGGCTAGTAGACAATCCTCAATATCAGTGCAAGAAGCTGAGAGTCAAGTTTTAAAGTTTTTGAGCAAACATGTTCATGAAAACAGAAGTCCTCTTGCCGGAAATAGTGTTTACATGGATAGACTATTCATACGTAAATATATGCCAAAACTGGATTCATATCTACATTATAGAATTATTGATGTTAGCACAATAAAGGAATTAGCAAAGAGATGGTATCCACAAGAATTTTCTAGAATACCGATTAAAAAATTTCAACACAGATGTATGAATGATATTTTAGAAAGTGTTGAAGAAATGAAGTATTATAGGGACAATATTTTCAAGAAGGAAATGCTGAACGAATGATTGAGATATTTAAAAAAAATTCTTCGTTGAAATTCAACATTTTACTGGTTGATGAACTGGTACATATCTTTTGCAACACTACAACAACCAACTCAAACACCATTGTCACCCCATATGGATTTTGGAAATCAGTGTTATAGAGAATGAATGGATTACTTCAGTCTACTTATCTCTAATAACTTTACCATTGCAATATTATTCAGGTATTTGTATAAAGAGTTCCAGGAGGCTAGACAAAGTGCATTCGCTTCAAAGTGATTCTATAGCGAACATCAAAAATGTAAGGAAGTGAAACGCGACAGTCACGTGACTTAACGAAAGTTATTGTCAGTTCTATACATTTTTGAAGTTCATTATGGATTTGCTTCGGAGCGAATTCGCTTTATCAAGCTCTGCAGTTAACGTTAAAGCAGATTCAAAAGTTACCAGTTTTCATTATAAATTAAATATTTTTTTGTAAATCAGTTTTTTTTATTACCGTTATTTGTTCAACTTGTCCTAAATAGAATCTATATATATATATATATATATATATATAAAAGAAAGTCGTGTTAGTACACTATTTATAACTCAAGAACGGCTTAACCGATATGGTTGAAAATTGGTGAGGAGGTAGCTTAGAGCCAGGAGATGGACATAGGATACTATATTTTTTTTTAATTTATGCATTGAAGAGCTGCTTTTTATTTAACTTTATAATATTATGAATGCGAATGTTTAGATGGATGTGATGTAAATGGATGGATCAGTGGGCTACACTAATTAAATTTTTTATATATTCACGCGGACGGAGTCGCGGGCGACAGCTAGTATTAGATAATTTAATCGATTTATTATAGTTGCACACACAGAGATTGGAATAGTTTACGACATTCTTAAAAGCGCCATCTATGCAGTGATATTGTAAGGTACTTTCATGATTGCTTTTTTCATTGCAAAAATCTTGATGCTAGATGGCAATAGTAGTTCATTTAGAATCAAAACACACGTTTTGAAAGTGAAAAACACGAACTGGGTTTCCACAGCGTACCACTTGTATAAAACATTGTCATTTTCGTTATTTTAAATATGGTACCGATCGTCTAGAGAGTTAGTGATGTGTAAATTGTTTTTTATTTTTAACAATTGCAAAACTGCAATACGTGGAAGTTATACGCTTTCTTCTTTTATTTATTTACTTTTGACATTTCTTCTTAAGCATTATAAAATAATAAATAAGATGTTATGTCGCTCAGAGATAATGTAGTATTCTAATAGTTAAATAGTTTTTGAAGTCCAATAGTTTTTGAGTTTCTTAATTACCATTGCTGCTTAGAGTTGAGTTGCTTATTTTTTTTCTTAATAAATTAAAAAGCGCTTGACGATCTCACAAGTGTGCTAAAGTAGTGATTTAAATTTGTTACACGCTTTATTACTGTAGATATTGCAGACTCCGCTAGACTCAAACTATCGCAAAATCTATGTATTCAAAGCTTATTTTATTTATAAGAGACTGTGAAGTATAAATATGGCATCGTATGATCAAAGGATTAATGAAGATCAGTGAACTTTAGAAATTATTGATTGAGTAAAAAGAGATGAAGGGGACTAGGGGCGTTCGCTTTTAAACGCTTTTATTATAAAAATAGACGTGAAAAAATGTCAAGTATTAATAAGAGTTATAGTATAGTATATCATGGTTCAAGGACGTCACCAGCCGATATATGCTAGATCCAAATGGAGGTTAAAAAATCTTTTTCTATTGTTAAAAAGGTAAATCTTAATAGCTAGAGAATGGAAGAATGTGATTCATTCATCAGCTCACTATACGTCCCCACCGAGGAGCTCGGAGCCTACTCTATGTTAGGAGTGATAGACCGTAGTCAACCACGCTGGGCAATTGTGGGTTGGTTGACTTCACACATATCTTTGAATTTCTTCTCAGACATGTGCAGGTTATATCACGATGTTTTCCTTCACCGTAAGAACGTCACATAAATGTACATATGTAAATCGGAAATCGAAAAACACATTGGTACATGGCGGGATTCGAACCCAGGATGGAACTGACAAGTAGTTTCTGAGTTAATTAGGTGTATCTATTGGAATTGTAAATATCTCAGTATTTCGAAGTAGTTTATTAGTTGTTTAGCAGCGGTTTAACTCAGTATTGTCAGCACGTAGCTTGAGCGAAGTTAAGACCTGTTGATTGTGCGCGGTAATAAAACAGAGATTTTATGTTTTTAAGCTTCTCGCAAACGACGTCTGGCTTTGGAAACATTGTGATTGAATCACAGTTTAAAATAATAGCCTTTATTTCAACTATGTTGCAAATACAAATATAACATAAACAGGATACCAGTTTAGAGATTGTGTTGCGTTTCCGCGAATGACGTTACAGCTTGCCACTTTTTCTATTGTAAGCCATCCTCCTTTACGTCACACTAGCAGTTTTTCTATTTCGCTCGACCATCCTAGATGCTGTCTCCCTTTACTTCTTTTAATTTTTATATCTGTACTAATCACGAAAGTTTAGGGATGTTTAAAACATACCAGTGTCTCTCATTCACTTTGAGACAAATTAAGGCAACTATATTTTAATACAAGTGAACGTATTAAAAAAAATGCTTTTATGTTAGAAAACTAATTTGTAAAAGAGGAATTAAAGACACAAAAACCGTGACACTAACTTTTTACAACGTAATATTCATTTCATTCATTAAGTCGAAATAGGTCAGCCGCGTGGGGAATGATTGCAAACATCACTTAATAGCTTGTTAATTAAAACAAACAAAATCTTGTCGCATGTAACCAATATGAATAATTGATCTTAATAATAACATAGTAAATGCTTAAAATAAAGCTTTTTAGGTTATTCCAATGCAAATTAGGTTTACTTGTTTAACTGACACACTTATCCTTCCAGAGTTAAGTGGTCACTTAGGTCCTCAGTATAGATTTAGTGCATTTAAGTAAATTACGTTTAAAAATAAATTTAATTTTTTTTAGTTCCGAACGGACGGAGCCGCGGGGAAAAGTTAGTGTGTTAATATAATTATCACTCCTAACGAAACCTTTTTTAATCGGTAATTTACCCTATTCAATGATTTTTATTTTTTGGGTTTCAAAATCTTTTCGCGCTGTACTAAAACAATGTTGAAAGAATGACATTTAAAAAAACGAAATGCCATAGATAATTTCTATTTTTAAAAGTATTTTATAACAAAAGTCATATCTTTATTAACTTTTTACTTAATAAAACAAAATCTTTTTGCACAAAAGAATTGGAATCAAAGAAATTCATAGTTTTTTTATAATAGTCACGTAGCGTAGCAATCTGTTACCATATATTTTAAAACTGAAATGGTATTCAGACATGCGAGTTTAATACGTTTTAATTAAAATACAGAAACTACTAAAGTGTAGCTATCTAGATTTGGATTACATGGGCACAGTGGTGCCAACGCCAAGGTGAACTAATGATCGGATAGATCTTACGATAACCATAAATAATAATGGATCATTCATAAAAAAAACAACTATTTGGTTTTACTAAATGTATTTTCAAAACTATTATCTTAAAACTCCTATCAAAGTAAATTTCCAACACTAGTCATAGTTAATTATTTAGTTAACAAAGTTAATTAATCTTCTAATCGCGGGTTTCTGCGATCAAAACCGCCATTTGAAACATCAAATAAAACATGTGTCTTCTGTCAAAGATGATGACAGGGATGATGACATATTTTAAACAGAGATTTTGGTCTCGGAAACCAACAATAAATAGAGTATTAAATAGTACGGTTAAACGATTTATAGATATTTTATTTTAATAACAAGTAAATTAAATTATCTAGATTTTTATAATATGTAACATAAATAATTTAAAAGTTAAAGCATGAATCTGCTACCCCTGCATTAAACTTTATTACATTAAATACATAGTAATCGAATAGTTTCATTTCTAAACGGGTCATATAACTATGTGTACGCTAATATATTTTACATTAATATTAAAAGAAGACTTACAGCTATATATTGAAGTTATACTCGTAAGCAAACTACTTGTTGATGCGAGGGAGAACTTCAATTGCATTTAATAAAACTAGGCAACTTGTAGCTCATATATTGCCAGAATAGAAAAGTACATTTAAAAAGAAAACAAAACACAGAAATGTGTTCTTATAACACTTTTATGAATATTTTTAGTAGAAAAAAAAACATTTAAAGAAATGAATAGCATTTTGCAAAACAAAAGTTGCGTAATTAACATGTTAAAATATTCGGACTCCGTTATAGAAATACGGCATTTGATTTAACAGATAATAATGACTCTTGGCTTTAGTAACTTCAATTTTTACCTTCAATATGCATCAGTAATAGATTACAGATTAAAAAAATTTTTGCAATCTGTGTCCTTTTTACGATTTGCAATTGTCAAGTTACGAATATTTTTTTCTGAACGGTGTTGCATTTAAATCATTTATATACTCTCTTAATTAAGATTGAAATAAGATACGAAATAAAATACTGTACTTTTTTATCATAAGCAAAGGAGCGAGCGAGTGAAATCGCTGAAATAGCGAAGAGACCGCTGCCAATATACATCCGCAGATGTGTTGCCCTCCTTTAAACGACGAAGATTCACAGAATAGGTTTGACACAAAACATAGATTTATCCTACTTTAAGGGCTTTTTCTCTTCCATAACTCTATGGTACGCTAGTATCTTCCGTGTGGGAGGAAATATTTTTGTTATGTTAAGACAAAGTACTATTTTATGACATTCTAAATGTGGCATTGATGAATGTGCCATAAACAAATTAACAAGTACATTTGTTTCTATATTAAAATTCTATAAACTTTTGTTTTGCAAAACTAAAGTTGAACTTAACATAGTTAGAATTTCTATTAAAGTTTCAATCTACTTATTTTATTTAAAATTATTTTTTTTACATTCTATTTTAATTGAATTATAATGTAAATTGCTTATTCTTGTATTATGTTCCTTGTACAATATTGGTAAACGCTTTCTACTTTGTTTCAATAAAAACAAACTTACGTGGTTTCAAAGTAATAATATTTTAAGGTACATTTTATGCGCGCTCATAAACTTTATGGTATTTCATGTTTTGATATTTACATTTATATGGCAACATTTTTATTTATAAATCATTAATTTGAGGTTTACACATCAAAAATATTTAGTTAATATTTGTTCGAAATGAATATTTAAATAGGTATTTCAACTATTCATAATTTGTTGTAAGTTAATGCTTAATATTATTTATTTTTATAATAAAACAATGTTGATCGATTAATACAATATTGTGCGTTAAATTATAAAATGTGTTTATTATAAAGTTTCCTCGCAGTTACAAAATAAATAATTCTATTTTTAAATTCAGTAAAAAATATTCTACTGGGTAAAAGTTCTAAAAGAGGTAATTCTTTAACACCTACATTTTAAGTCTTTACATTACTAATTCATTTTATCTACATATTTGTTACTTTATATATATTTATCTTTTATATCTACATATCTATGTATATTATATAGATTTAGTTTATTCATTTATTCTGTTATTAAAAATTCATCGACTACCAAATGTTAAAAAGTATACAAGCTTGTTAAAACACAAGATTTTGTAGCCAACAAGTTCAAAATTTCGAAATATAAGTAAGAAAATGTTTAAGATTAATTATAAATGTTTGAAAATTTACGCATGATAGAGAAATAATTAGCGTAGGTCACGTGTAACATTTCCCGCGCTGGCGGTCGTTCACTCTCGCACTCGCAACAGCTGATCTCTGTAGTGTGTAGTATGAAAGCCTTGTTCTTATCGACGGCAGCGTATCTTACTCGCGTACGAATACGAACTCGTTGTAGTGGTTCCAGCGGTTCTCCTCGGAGTCGACGCCGGGTTTTAACTCTGCGGCGCCGCCTGCTGTGCCGCTGCCGCAGCTCGCCGTTAGCTTGAAGCCCTGCTCCTGCAGCATATCGAAAGCCTGCTCGATGAACGAATGCTTGAGGAAGAAGCGCGAGGTGTAGCGGTCGGCCAGGCCGTGATCGGGATCGCGCGACTCGTTCAGCGTCTCACCGAACACGTCGCGGCAGAGCGTCACCTTGCCGCACACGAGGATGCGCGACAGCTTGCGGAACTTGACGTCGGCCAGGCCGTCGCGGCCGAAAGCGAAGCTGCCGCGGTAGCCGACTGTGATGCAGCCCTTCTCGCGATGTGGCGGGCGCGGGTCGGCGTCACGGACGGCCGCCTCCAGGCCTGGCAGCCGGTAGTGCCGCGCCTCGCGCGCCAGCCGCTTGTGCTCGCGGAAGCACTCGGGCAGCACGAGTCCGCCGTCGCGCAGGTAGTCCAGCACGTAGCGGAAGAGCACGCCGTCACGGTCGAAGAAGATGCGACCGCGGGCGTCGCGCGGATGATCGGCGTCTGTGAGCGCGGTGGCCGGCAGCGAGTCCGGCTCGCGCAGCAGCGTCTCGCGCGTGCTCGCGTAGTGCACGCCGCCGACGTTCAGCTCGAGCACCTCGGGCGGCGCGTCCGCCATGGCTGGAGGCTGGGTACGGAGTGGCGGCGGCCGCGGCTGCGCGCCCCCTGCCCCCGCCCGCCCTTGCGCTCCGCCCCCTGACCCACTTCTTCCGCGTCTCGGCGCCGCGCGCCCATCAATAACGCACGCCTGGGTTACTGACTTCGGCGTAATCATTTCCTACCCTTTCGAAACTCTACCGCGAAAGCCTTCAAGGTCGACGTCTATTGTTAGCTAACAGATGGTTCATTATGCCGAGGAGCTTTGGAAAGTTTTAACACTCGGTTTCCTGCGTATAGCTACTTAGGTAAGTTATGAACTGAGCAACAATAATAGTTTTAAAATTCGGATATAAGTTCGTTCTGTTGAAGATTCATGGAGGCTACCTCGGTATAATATAATTTATATTCCTAATTTATTATTATACACTAGAAGAAAACAAGAAGATAATTATCCTATAGTCTAGAAATTTTAAATAAAAGTGAATGCAGCATCCATTTCTACTCCTGTTTTGTCGATTTTCGACAGGGCTACGGAAACAGCGGCGTAGAAGGGATACTGCTACGCGATGGGTTACGAGGACGTACAAAAATGGAACCTACGTATCGAAATAGTGTTGCAAATGCATACCATTTTATCTCAAATTAATTTATCCATTTTTCGAGCAATTTTTGACGATAAAAGTATACTTTACTGATGTTATTTTTTTTAAGGCGAGGCATGACCCATGTATCACTTAACAAGTGTATTTGATCTGTTGCTGACGAAGTATGATGGATGTTCAGTTTGATGGATGAAGGGGGTAAATGGGATCGTTTAACATCAATACTTTATAAGAGTTTATATTAGATTTTTGTCAATGTATTTTTACGATGAGAAATAAAAGATTTTTCAATTTTAAAAACGGTAGTAAATGTGAGATACTATTTCTAGTCTATTTAGTAAGAATATTTTTAATTTCAGGCTTAGTTTGGAATTTAAATCATAGTTTTAGAATAAGAGAAATTTATTTGCATAATTAAATAAGAGCGGGGTCTGGTCGCATATATTTTTCTATGAAAAATCTGTACAGTAAAAAAAATCTTGGCATTTCATAGACACAAAATGTAAATGTATTCAAATAGAGATGATGTGTACACAATAAGATTCTGTTATTGTCAAACGCTATGTCAATTTAGTTTACATTATTATATCAATAGATGGCGGAACATATTACTAGATCACGATATTAATGTATTTGGTATGTTTATCGACTTCCCGATCGCATTTAATAAAGTTGACTCGCACCAAGATATAACCAGTGTTTCATTGTGACTACTCGATACTTCTCCAGTGAGAGGGAGACCTTTTTGAGACTGCTTTACAGTTATTAAAGTAAACATTGTACAAAGCTTTGTACATTCAAAGCTTGCAGGGTCACCGGGAAAAAAGTGAAGTTATAAAAAGTAAAAATACTTTCGAAATTCTAAAAATGTATAAGAAAAAATCCTAATACCTATTTATGTTGTTCTCTACAAAAATATCTTTATTTATGAAGTTTTACCATCAATTATTTTTAATAATCAGTCTAGAATAAACTGTGTTGGTAAAACGTTGTTTTCCTCGCCTTTAACTTTCTACGATGGTCATATTTTTATAGCAAAAACATGGCCATATGATTTCGCCATAGCGAAGTGACCGTTGCCATATACATTTGCATATGTAGATACGTTCCTTACCTATGTGTAAAGGTTCTAACATTTTATTTGTAAAAATTTTATAAATTTAATTTTTTATTTGTATATCATATATGAGCATTTTGTTTTTTTTTTTTAGATTTGCAGAAGAATTTACGAGTATGAAGATAAATATTTCCACACATTCGTAACGAACGTAACAAGAGGGGTCCTTTTATTACGGTCCAGGGAAATTAGGTTTTCCTTTTATTTCACGTAATGAACTCTCGAGGGGCGCGATTGCCCTATCTCGTTTGGCTGATAAAAATACATCTATTAAACCAAAATCTAGTACATTTAAATACGGAATATTTTTAAATAAAAATATTACTTACTAGGTATCATCCGTGACTACATCCTCGCGTTCTTTTTTTTTATCAAAATGTGGCAAACGAGCGAGCGGCCACCTGAAATCGTTGAAATAGCCAAGCGACCGTTGCTCATAGACATACGCAATTGCATATGCCTACCTTTAATCCACGGGGAAAGGGATGCACAGAAAGAAAATATTTTCACTTCCCATGCATCCCCTTATCCAGAAAATCCACTTTCACTTCCCATTCTTTCCTTGTAAGAAAACGAGTGAAAAGGGAAAGAGGACTAACATTAAGCCTCCAGGACGCACGCACATCAGACGAAACGCAGAATTGCTTCCATTTCCCGCCTGCCTTCTGTGTGTGTGGTCTTAAAAAAATCTTAATTAGTAGCTTATGAGTTAACTTTTAACAAAAATCGATCCATTTATCTATATATTTAAACTTTCGCTTTTATATGTAAGATTTATCATAACGTAGAAAAAGTTTCAAGAGAAATCCATTACGTTATATGTAATGTTGACGTACGTAAGGGAATACCTCACCTCGAACTAACACGGCGTGATATTACTCGACAAATTGGATCAAACGTTGTTATTTAGTTGTCGAGTTTTGTGGGGGATTTGACGAAGCGTGGCATTCAAGTTACGAAATCAATTTCAAAGCAAACACGTAAATTACAAATTAGAATATATTTGATATTAACTAAACTCTAAGAATAAAATTAGGAAAGCTTATTAACTACGATTTAAATTTACAGGGTTATTTAGTTCGGTTTAAAATTCTTAGCGTTGTTTTCATAACTTTCAGCTAGTAACAAATTACTGTTAGATTTAACTTCTAGAAGCTTCCACGCCTACCATTTCGCCGCAAAGACAAGATATCTGTTGCAAATAACGTCAAGCTTCTTTATAGCTTAATAAATTTAAAGTTATATCCTTACTTCATGATTAAGTGCAAAAAGTTTACGATATTTATAATGGCGTTCCGCAGTCGGTGGTGTATTATTTTTTATATAATACTAGCTGTTGCCCGCGACTCCCTCCGCGATCCTACCCTACTGAACATGCATAAATTTAATCGAAATCGGTCAAGAAGTTTTGGAGGAGTATGGTAGCTAACATTGTGACACGAGAATATAAGACTAAAGCCAAATAAAACTTTTGTCCGTCGATGATAAAGCAAAATTGAATTCGCGATTCGAAAATTAAAAAAGGTCGTTAGATTCCCGTGACGTCAGCATTATGATGTCAGGGAAAATGAGTTTTGGCTATTAAGCTTCATCATCGATAATTGATTGTTTTTATACATTCAGAGACTAACGACTTATAATGAAAAAAAAAACGGATTCATTAGACTTGATTAAATTAAAATATTTATAGTTCAATACAATTTTTTAGGCTCAGAACGCATAATTCGTTTTTCAAACATTTTAAAATCAAACGGTAGGAATCCCTCTGGAATACAATGGATAAGATAATGTACCGATTCTAATAGTAGGCTCGTAAATAAACATTATTGCCTAGAACATCCCAAAGGTAAGACGTGTCAATGTCAACAATGTACCGTAAGTATTCTATCTTCAAATTCTCGACGTTTGCGTTGAGGGAATACCGAATAAATTATTCTTATTACAGCATCATATTGCCAAATAAATTGGATGAAAGTTTGTTACGCGTTCGGACGAGACGTCTCGTGCAGACTATTCCAGATATTTGTAACAAGGGACTTTAGCAAAATTTATTTGGTCAAATGTACCATTTTAATTCTGCTCTTTATATGTTTCGTAAGACGTTTTTTTTTAATTGAACACCCCGTGTAAGTCGAGAAACCAAACTGTTTACAACCAACCTTCTTATATCTATCGGACAAGCAACCAATAACCCTCAACTTTGACAAGAACTCCATTATCAAATATTTAGCCACAATTTTGGTCTAAGGAGCCATTACGGGGTAAGGGGTTTTCAATTGGCGGCAATACGTCATTGTTTCGGCAGTGCGAACACATATTATGATCATAAGAAATATTAGACATTTATGCCTAACACAGGTTTACATCACTCGGCATAAATTACATTAGATCGTTACAATGCTCTTAGCTTGATTAAACAGATTAATTGTTATTGATGTTGACCTTGAAAGAATATTATGTTTTAAGGTACGCATCCACAGAAACGCTCTGATTTGCTTTGACTTGATGCGTTGCTTTCGTGACTGACTGAGGCTGAATGTTTTGAAAAGTTATGGCGATTCAGATTTGAACACATGTTACTCATTAATTTATTTATATATTAGAATTATATGTCTTAACGTTAACTATATGTGTTTTGTACTGATGCAATATATCTTCTGACACTCCAGGGAAGAAGACGAATAGAATGACACCACACACGTCAATATTGGTCCAGTCGTTTAGGCTTTACGCTAGTCTTTCCCAAAGTGGGCGATACCGCCCTCTTGTGGGCGCTGCAGGTTTCAAGTTGCGGGTTATAGTAAAAGTTTCATTTAGAATTCTCCGTTAATATACATATTTAGGTCACAATAATTAATTAATTTAATTTGAAGTTATAGTGGCGCCTAAAAAAAATATTTATTCTCAAAGTGGGCAGTAGACAAATTAAGTTTGGGAACCACTGCTTTACGCCGTCACCATTGAAATTTACAATAGACACATATAAACACTAAATCCTAAATCATTATAGGACATAAAAACAAAATTTTGCTAAATCAATATTATATTATCACCGTAATAATATAAATATTTAATATTCCGAAACATTTTTCAAACTACTAAGCAATAAATAAGCTTATTTCAAGCCTTAAGTTATATTTCTCAAGCACTAAGTAAAATAACAACAACGTAATTTCTTGACAATGATTAATACTGTTTTATAGTAGTTTAATTTTAAATAATTTCATACTACCTTTCACATTGATTAGTTTAAATATGAAAGAGTTGAATATGGTACTAATTTTACATTTTCTAATACAAATATCAAATAGTAAAGATAATGTACTCAAAGCACAAAGAAATTTAAACGACATAAGTTAAATATACCACAAGAAGCATTATAAGCAATTGCATTATCAAATACAATTAAGAATCTTTACGAATACTGAAATCATTGAATGAATACTCAGTTATATCTTTTTCATTTTTAAATTCAGCTTTATCTATCTTGCTGCTAGGACTCCCAGTAGTCCGTAGCCAACGCATCCTGTTAAATATGAAATAGAATTGGATCAAGTGCTAATATACCATTTCGTCATAATCAACCTGTCATTATCCTCACAGAGGGTTTGCACATTATGTACTACTCCATACATCTCTATCAGCCGTCAAGTGAATCCAAAGCCTTCTTACGCATATCCTCTTTCACACAATCCACGCATATTTTCTTAGGTCTTCCTCTGTCTTTGTAGCCATCCACATTCAATCTTATTTAAGTGGTAATGTACCATTTATATATAAAGCCAAACACACTAAGTATGTATATTCTTCTATAACTAATTTGTAATTCTTTAAACACTTACAAAACATGTTTATCTCAGTTTTTTGAGACAGAAAGTGAACATTTTTTTAATGTGACATTTTTGTCTAATGCAGATTAGGCAATAAGTTTTTTTAAAATTATATATTTATAATTTTAATGTTAAGTAGCAAAAAATATAAGTTGTAACTCACATATTTTCTACATTATCAGATGGACCTTGAAGTTGACCTTGCACTGTTCCCTTGGAGGTGTTCATGCACCAGCCTTTTAGGCCTAACTTTTCTGCCTCTTGTTTTGTAAACTGAAAAGATTGCGCTTTTATGCTTTTTCACTCAAAGCTAGTACATAGATTTAGCCAGTACCTAAATCCTGTGCCACTTTTTAAGATATTTAACAACTATTTTACTGATAAATTGTCATCATATTTATGTAAACTAAATTATTTTTATTACATTAATGAATTTTGAAGCTTTTAAAAACTTTTCAACCTTATGTAACTAACAAATTAAATGTGAAGGATTAGTTCCTAATTCTGTGGTAATTTAATAGTAAACGATTAAATGAGTAAATTAAAAAATTTTACCTTTCGAAAGAAGACTCCTTGGACTCGACCAAACACTTCGAAGTCTACACTTCGCAAAGCCATGGTTGCAGCTGTTGCAAATGAAAAATTTTTGAACGATGTGGCCACAGTAGTTAAAATTAATAAACGAATCATTTACATTTATTGTAAGACGCATAAATTCAATAAGATTATTTTTTGAAACAAATACTGTTTGAAAAAATCTAATTTTTTCTTGTCAAAGCAAAAGTTTACGGAGTGGGCTGTTGATTATCTTTCATTTGTTTTCTGAAAAATTGAGATTAAAAAATATTAATGAGCTAAAATTTTTCACCTTTTACATTTTGAAATGTAGATTATTTTTAAATGGCGAATTTGAGATTTATTAAAAATTAAGAATGATCAAAAGTTCCATTTTCATCAAATACTTTTTTCGGTGGCGTACTTCGTAAATGCACTAAAGAAATTCAAACGAGAATTTCGTGCTTTTGCCAAAAATATTAGCATGGCAACTTGATTGTCTTGGCAAGTCGACAGCTGTCATTATAAGGTTTTGGTGATAGAATACCTAGATTGCAGTATACAATAAGTAAAATAAAATTAATATAATAAACATTTAGTTTTGTGAATAACATATATAATTTAGAAAAATGGCTTTCTATGGCTGTGCAAGGTAGGTAATTAGATGGGTTATGTAACATTGACCATATATAACTTGTTTACCAACGTATTCAAATTTTCAGGCTTAGTGCGAGGCCTGTTCTTGCTAGCTTGGGGAGATTGCCCCTCGCATTGAACTCCGCTCACTATGCTCAAGCAGCGGCTCTTCCAAAAGTTAATTTCAAAAAATACGAAGCTCCTAAACCTGAACATTATGACGATAAAAATGCTCGCCTGAAACGCCCATTGTCTCCTCACCTTACAATCTACGCACCACAGCTGACGAGTATACTATCTATAACGCATCGAACTGCAGGTATTTATGTGAACATATAATACATGTTGCCTTAATATTTTATAGATAGGAATCGGAGTAGTATTAAAATATGTAAGATTATATTTCCATTTATAATCATGATGATAATCTTTGTATATATAATTCTTCTGTGAGTGTGTATGTCACTGAACTTCTCTCAAATGACTGGACCGATTTTGATGAAATTTTTTGTGCGTGTTCAAGGGGATCTGGGAATGGTTTAGATTCACAATTTTCATCAAATATTAACTTCGCATTAATTTATTAAAATTAAAGACGTGTAGACAGCACAACGTCTGTCGGGTCCGCTAGTATTTATTGCAATTAAAAGTTAATGCAAGCTATGATTATCAGTTGACTGCCACATTATTATACAACAGAAAAAGTTAATTGATAACATAATTATTATTTAATGGCTTTTAAATGACGTAGTTCTATGACAAATTTTGTTTTATACGTATGTTCAAAATCTTGACATAATTTGCTTGCATAATAGAAAAAGTTAAGATGCGATGAGATACAATAATTTTCTTAACCTTCTGGAAGTACAATTTCCAAGTTAATAAAATGTACTTCATCACCGCATAACTTGAATTAGTTGTTGGTTTCATTTTTTCATATATTTTGAAATTCTGTAAATAAATAATGTACAATGGGTACTGAAAGTTTGTTGGTGGTCAGTTAAATTAATTTCATTCATTTGTTCACAATTTATTTCACATACTAGCTGTTGCCTTCTCACACCGTTTGCATTGGGAAAAATAAGTAGCTTATGTGTTCATCCAGACTATGTTTTACATCCATGCCAAATATCATCACAATCCATTGAGCTGTTTGGGAGTACCTTGTAATAAACATCCATCCATCTAAACATTTGCATTTATAATATTAGTGAGATTACCTTAGTTTAATTCTCTAATACTTTTAGGTATTATACTGTCTGGTTATGCCAGCGTTTTGGGTATCGGAGCATTGGTACTGCCCCATGATGTGTCCCATTACATCATGATGATTGAAGGTCTTAATCTATCTCCAGCAACTATTTTCTTAGCCAAGTTTCTGATAGCTGCTCCATTTGGATATCATTTTGCCAATGGCTTAAGGCATTTGTATTGGGATACTGCTAAAGGATTGACAATCAAGGAAGTATACTCAACTGGGTATGCTATGCTTGCGACTGCCACAGCTATTACGCTGTTCCTTGCTGCATTGTAAATGTTAACGAAAGTAGGGTAGTAAGAAAAAAATTATTTGAATGTTATTTATTTGTTTTGAATATAAGTATTAAACATTAATATATCAGACTTTATTTTATTTGTATACCCAATTATAAAAATAAAAAAAAAAACTATTACAAAATATAGGTATTTAAATATTTTTATTAAGCGACTCCACATGTGTTGAGAACGTCGTGGATCGACTTGAATTTTTCAAAGTCCATTTTTTCAGTGGTCACCAATCCCTTTGCGGCGTTCTGAAATAATTTATAGCTTATTTATAATGTTGCAAGTATTAAATATAATCTAAACATGGTCAAAAAGTTGAAGTCAATATTCTTAGTCATTGGATTTAATTAGAATTAGTTTAAGTTAACAAGAAAATGGACATTCATATATTGATTTCTGATAAATCTTCATGTCTCGTTATAAATATGGGTGTTCCGAGTGTAAATTAAAAAAATCTTACGTTGAACAGAACGTTATTGTTCTTGTAGAACTCTCCATAGATGTTGAATAAGTCACTCCTGGTATCCAATAATTCAGCCAAACTGAGTGGTGCGTGGGCTATTGATACGTCGGAGAGGAAATCTTTAGCAGAAAGCCAAGTGCGAGACGGCGCCATCGCGACGTTACATGTCGCGAAGTTTGTAAAAGTGTCCCTGCCGCCTGATTCACGGTTCAGGCAAAGCAACTCGTATTGTGAAGCATCGAATTTGGATAAGTCCGCACCTGGAATTATGAAAGATTTTAATTTATTTCGTGCCGTTGCAATTATTACGACACCTATCACGCTGCCGCATCCATTTCTCTACACTCGCTAAATCAAATACGCGCCATCCTTGAAAAGGAACGGTCGGCTGCGACCAATAAGTGAACGTGACGCCAATAAACCAGTCTGCACTAAGTAAGCGTTGTTTCTGTCACTTTCCTTATCTATCAGCGACTCTAAACATGTTCAGTATGCAGAAGCTATAGTAACTGAACAACAACTCAAACTTTTTTTAATTGTTTTCCTTATGTTTTACTTCCATTGAGAAGTATTACTTACTGGAAACGAATGCAACATCTCCGTTATTCTGCAAACACTGGAGGGCGCTACCGTCGCCTGAGCATCGCTTCTTCATGTTTGATACGTCTTCTCCTAGAAATTAATTGCAGCATAGTTGGTACAAAGATTATTTTCTAGTATCTCAAAAATTAAATACAACTAAATCTGGTTAGTAGAACTTCTTATTAGTTTTTTAAAATATTGCGCTTTACCTCTAGGATTGTTCTCTGGTTTGTCAACACCAGGTAAACATGAGCCGCCTGAGAAGAAATCTCCTAAGTTCTTTACGCACTGAAAATTATAGAAGACTGAAATGTAGTCCTAGTGTAGTATAATATGTATAGAATAGTAGGTATAGAAACAGAGAAGAATGGAGATGGAAAACTCTTATTGTCACGGTTAAGTTTCGAAGAATAAATTAAGATATGGAATAGACCTGTAGCAACTCTATGGGAGAATTTTATTAAAATGATAATTGCAAAACATTGTACCTGATCAGAGTTGATAAGTTTCTTATTGATAAGGTAGAATAGCGGAGCAGCTAAACCACTGAAGCTACCGAAAGAGTTGTGACATGACCTGTTAAAACGATAAGTACAATCACATAAGACTTAAGAAATTGTACTCCAGTGCAAGGGCATCGCCATCCGATGATCTGGGCTTTAAGATGTGGGGTAGGTAGAAAAAAATCAACAGTATTTCTGACTTTCCCATATGGAACACGACATGGTATTTGATTAATTCAGATTGGAAATGCGCTGGCGTTAACTACATCAATGAAGAGTAGCTACGTTTCCACATGCAAATGCGACCCAATGAGACTAGCGTGCTCCTGCGTTCTAATCATTTGCATATTCCTACGTTTTATTCTCAAAAGTGTTGAATTGTATGGAATACTTTAAAACCAGTCATGATTCTAAATTCTGAAGCATTTTTACGCGTTTTATGCAGATTTCAAATCATGATGGCATAAATACAGTTTATGCCGTTACATGAACAATATTAAAATGATTGCCATAAAAAAAATAAACGTAAGTAAATCAAAGGAAATCAGTAGTTACAATTATTTAAGTAATTATTCAATACTAGTTGATAAAATAGGATAAAATTATTGCGTATGCTAATTTTATATGTAAAAGCAATCCTAGGTAGGCCATAGCTTTTATCTGCCGCGGTTTGCGTGGTATTATGCCACCCAAAACACTTTTGCTATGCAAATATTCGTATAATGCCTCTCACCGCAATGTAATGCTAATTTCATATGTAAAATGTTTGTACCAACACGTTGTGCACAAATATTAGAAACATCTCTTTTGATTGATTCACAACTTTTTAAATATTATCAAAAGTGAATTTAAGCAATAGTTATAATAGGTATTAAAAATAAATGATTGTTTCTGAACTTTCTAGTCCATTCGGTACATAAAAATGAGCAAATATAAACGATCTTTTAAAAGAAGTCTATGGCTAACAGAAATTACGATCTATGGTAGGATTTTTTTAACTATATTTACCGTTTTCCTCTCAGGTCTTCAATTTTATTAACACTTGAGTCTTTCCTGACTACAGCGACGGCATAGTTGGGTGTCTTAGCTGCACCGTATACTTCGTGGAAGACGGGATGCAAGTTGTAATTCTTAGACGCGGAAGCCACTCTCATGTCGTCTACAGCAGCAAGGTCGGACCCGTTGTCTTGGACCTGGTGAAATTTTTTCGTAAGAAACAGTAGTCTGCAGTCAAAGATTTTTTAAGATTTTGCAGATAAAGTACTTAAGAAATGTTGTATTTCGGTATATCGCATCTTTAGCATCGATTTTACCAAAAGATAAAATGTCCAGACAGTATCTTCAGGAAAATTGGAATAAAATAGTGTAAAGCTGGCTCGAAAGTAACATAATTATCAAGTTCCGTAAGAATTTGAACAATTTTAATGTTTTTTTTTTAATTTGAGCATGACATTAATATCAATCCTTGTAATTTTGCTTCAATGGAAAGGTACTTTTGTGTCTTACACTCTTAAGACAAGCATCTTCGGATTCCTCTTGCACGCAGTCAATTTTAGGTCTAATGTCTCTGCTGAATGCGAACACGGACATCAAACGGCACTTCTCCAACGCTAAGTATGTTGTCACACATAGTCTGTAAAAGTTAGGTTATGTTAGGTTAGAATTAGTAACCATAGTATTGAATTTTGTGCAGCTTATAAAACTGTTAATAAGTGACTGCTTTTATTTACTTGTTGTTTAAGTAAATCGATTCTGTATGTATCAGTTATAATATACGTTATGTAAAACTAACTTCATTATTTTATGCAATTCCGTAAATGGTACCTGACTACGGGTTCCGGAGGGCCGTGACCACGTTCAATAACTTCCGTGTAGTTCGCCTTTTTAAGATAGTCAGCTGGTTTGATTGGGATATTGTCGGCAACGTGGTGGATTTTCTCTGATAGTCCCAATACATTGAGGAACCAATCAGGTTTGCTGCTTGTACCTGAACAACATCCGTTGAGATGAAAAAATAATAATCTTCGACAATTATATACTTTTTAATTTCTTAAAGATACTAAGGCTAAGTTTATATGCAAGCATTAGTTAGAGGTCCAAATATCTTTTAATACTTTAAAATTAGAGTAGGAAGAGTAATTAAGAGAGATAAGGCTATTATTCAGCGCCATTCAAAGCACTCGGGTTGCAAATTGTTCACTTTAAATGGAATGGCTCTTCCGATTTTAAGATATTCATTTCGTAGACAATGGAATACAATTGAAATTATGTTTAAATACTTGGCGAATTAATTAGTAACCAAAATCTTCATAACAATACTTCGATATATGAATATTTATTAGTACCATACAATTATATCTTATAATTCTATTTATTTTCTAAAGAACGGTTTCATTTCAATTAATAAATTCATTAAGAACAACAAGATAAAATTACTAATAGTGACTCTGTTTTCTACCCATGTTCATGCCGACATATTACCTTAATTCTGGATACTATTGCATTATGGATTAAGGAAAATAATTCAATGACATATCAATATACAAAGCGGTATTTACCAGCATCAGCCAATTGTTTTATCTTCTCTCTCAGAGGTGATAACTTCGCCAATACATCCTGATGTCCTATCAAACCCTGCCAAGGTCTGGCTGCCCAGGTACAAGGTTTTCCTCTGATTGGTACTTTAGATCCATCCACGCATAGATACGCGAACTCATCAGGGTTTTCAGGGGATTCCGAAGCTGGTGTGGTACCAACAGGAAGCTAATATAGAGAAAAATATACTCAGACTAAGAAATAGACATGACAGAAATTAGACATCCCATTCAGCCGATCTCATTTAAAGTGGGACTAAAGTAAGGACATTATGGACAATATTTAGAGAGTTCGTCATAATTGCCATAATGTTTTATCCGAATCCGATGAAAGGTACTAAAGGAAGATGAAGAAATAGTGCAAACTTACTCCAAAGAATTTGCGCACGAAGATGACTTTAGTAAAGGCGACTTGTCCACCATGGTGAGCTAGGCAACGCAGCGCGCCTGTGTACCCGCTGTACACGTCGGGGTAATCGCACTTCTCTGGATGCTCGCAGAGCGCGCACAGTTGATTATATTGTGACTCTAGAAATTAATTAACACTATACTTAAGGAGACGATAAAGTTCGATTGATTGTAGGAGGGCAGATGAAACTCAAAAATTGAAAAACCCCAAACTTCCCTGCAACTAAAAAAAGCTGGTATACATATATATTTTAGTAGTAAAAGTTCATATAGAATTAAATGTTTTGCTAAGAATGTCGGTATTGTAACTCACTCCAAGCTGAATTAGTTTTAGGATCAGGTGACCATTGTCCGACAATGCAGGATTGTGTAAAGAAAGTTGATAGTGCTTTTAGCTCGTTCTCCTTCGGTGAGATGCTGTGGTCGTTCATCTTGGGGAACACTGCTCTCTTCATTAACATCGTAAGCGGAATCTGGAAGTTTTTTTTTATTAATCTCGCGATAATTTATGGCTTGATTAATTTCATCCAAGCACAAATCCGTAAAGAATTTATAAAAGTGTTTAAGACTTACTTTGTAACCGACATTTCTATTAACTCCCGTGTGACACGATTTCAATCCTTTCAGTTCATCCAAGCTGTTAATCGGAAGATCTTTGTGTACAACAATGACGGCTTCATATCTGAATTCCGCTGCAAGAGAATTATTGTATTGAAGGTATGTCTTACATATAAAATCCTCGTCTTATATATAAAATTCACAATTTTCGTTCCGATATTCCTCCGAAACGGCTTGACCGATTCTCATGAAATTTTGTGAGCATATTGAGTAGATCTGAGAATCGGCCAACATCTATTTTTAATCCCGCGCGGACGGTGTCGCGGGCGACAGCTAGTTCTTTTTAAAAAAACATTTTAAAATACGAAGAAGTCACCGTTTATTCGCAATAAATACTATACAGAATATAATCTAAAGTTTCTTGGTTATTTCATTATTTATATCTGGATTACAATATTCTTTTTTATTTCTTTTTACCCGTAGTTTACCTAACATATGAATAACAGGCTTTACAGTACAAATTCAACAGTTGTGACCATTATACGAAACATTTTAACCATAAGGCTTTTAATATGAATAATGTAAAACAACATTATCATGCATACTATCGTTATAAAGGTATTTGAGGTTACCCAAGGGTTGGGTCAAAGCTGAGAGGGTTCGAGATGAAAACCGGGGAATTCCCTTAGGCTTTATTGTGGTAAGGACTTGGCTAGACCGAAAATTTATTCATAATCGAGTTTATAATATATTTTATTATTGTTTTGCACTGGGAATAATTATTATAAATGTTCGTTAGAACTATTGCTTTAATTATAATCTATTTGAAATAACGAAAAGTAGAAAAAATAAACTATAATATTAATAAAGTTTTTAGTCTGATCATATCAGAAGCGTCGCGAGAAAGGCAGGTGCCGCAGAGAATTAAAATAAATTCTAGCTTGATACCTTCACGCGTATTTTAGAAAAAGGCTCTTGATAAACAGACAGACGGACAAAAAAGTGATCCTATAATGGTGGAACCCTAAAATGTAAAAATGTTAATTTCCTACTCCAACCATAGACCTAGCCTAGGTCATCGATTGGCGGGGATCGTTGATTATATAATTAAAAGAGTCGACTTCTCGAACCCTTTTAAAATAATGTTAAAATATATTGTAGGATTATAATATTATTGTAGGATTTCTGAAGTGACTTATGACATTAAAAGACCAGAGGCTTATAAATGAAAGTAATGAAAACATAATGAAATAGATAAAAAAATAGAAAGTTTATAATAGCAATATTCGGTGCTGGAATCGAATACGCTATTATATTCTTTACTAAAAATATAGCTTCTCTATTTTTATATCTATATATTGAAAAGCGGTAGACGTGTCGTGGTTATGGTTTCTTTTGATATTTTTTATTAAATGTTCAAAACATTTTTCTTAAGTGTATTTTTTAATATAAATAGTTAACAAAATTCTTAAGACTTCTCTAATATTTGGATGAGTTTTTTGACGAAAAATAACGTAGAAAGTAAGTAAGAAGTAAGAAAAGAAGTATGAATGGAATAAAAAAAAATATTAGTCTCTTTCAATGAAAGGCATTTCTATTTGCAGATTATAAAACGTTTGTCGATATGTACATATTCACTATAGACCTTTCTATCAGCTTAATGGCCTATATCAAAGTCTGTCAGTCCCCGCGGATCAGCCCCGGTCTATAGACAATTCGAACCTTTTAGATTAAACTTCCAACATTTACTAAGCAGATAAGTATTATTGGTTTTATTTAAGTGTGCCTTTTATTTATGAATATGGAATATGCCTTTTTAGTTTTATTTTTAAAAAGTAGTTAAATCAAAGATTTTAATCTATATTTTAGTCCTACTAATATTATAAATGCGAATGTCTGGATGAATGGATGTTTGAAGGTATCTCCGGAACGGATGTATGGATCTTGCTGAAGTTTAGCAGCCTGGAGGACACATAGGCTACTAAATACTGTTTTATTTCCGCGCGGAGGCGCGGACGTCAGCTAGTTTAGGCATAAGCGTTTATTGACATACTTACGATCGACAATTTGGTTATGATTACTCAGTTATAAAGTACCTGCGCCAGGAATGCAGAAACTGATTAGTATTAAAACAGGTTAATAAAATCTAAATAACTACATAACTCTATAGTTATAAAATAATTCTTTATCGACTAAGGTTGTTATTGATTTTAATCATTAGTTGCCATGAGGTAGAGACAATGAATTGACTAGATTAGTGATATACCAAAGACAAGATGGTAAATCGTCGTCATCATCATCAGTACGTATGTCACGAGAAACTAAGTATTTTCGTACCATCAGGTTCCTCATCAGTCCTGTACTCCTGGAAGACGACGAAGTCTTGGTTGGGCATTTTAGACGCAACGTACATATCTTCTGGATCTGTTGGCACTAAGTCCGCTTGACGCTGCTGAACAAAACCTAGACATTGTACTCTGAAACAATAAAGTAGGTTAATCCGTGAATCTTACTGTGGGTTTCCATGGCACAAAATGCTTAAAAAAACATATCTCTCTTGCTATACTTAGAAGGTGATTGGTACAGTTTTGGACACCTCAGACAAAATAATCATCAGATTGGATTTAGTATTTTTTTAAATAAATTAGTTCGATAAACACTTGGAATATTTAATTACCTATATTAAAATAAAGATAAACAAAACATGAAAATTGATAAAACGTAATTAAATTACTCCGTTCATAAACAGTTCAGTAAATCTAAACACAAATAAAAGTATTTAACTGTAATTTTGTCAGATGAAATCATTACTTCAAACTTCTTCCTAAACAATCAAGTAAACGATTTAGTATGAATTTCAATTATTCATGATAAGTAAAGTTTTTTTTTTCAAAAGATTGTAATCAACATTTTTCCTTCTTTGTGTTAAAATTACAATGGGATTTATATGTACATATACTTTTAATATATTTATTTAAAGTCTTAGCACGTAGAAAAATCGCAACAACATACTTGAATACTGATTGTTAAAAAAAAAAACTTGTACCAAACGGAATGCCATGAACACTCTTTGGCAGCAACAGATAATAAATGTTATTTTTTTTAATACAAGCTTTAAGGCAAAGGCAAGTAAAAGTACAAGCTTTAAAACAATACACTCACCTATCTCTGGCAGGAACACATTCCAGAGAGACCTTGCTCTTTGTGGGGACCTCCAACATCTCCTCGCAAGCTTTCAGAAACTGCTTTGGTACGCATATTTTATCTATGAAGTTAAAAAAAAAATTGAACATTTATAGCACTATTAAATAGTTGCTATAATGATAACAAATATTTGTTTATCCGCGGAAAAATAAATGCGCATATTTATTGCGTATTGTACAAATATGCTTAAATGCAATTTGTACAGATTTTAAACTCAGATTTTAAATTGTTATTAATATAGAAAGATTTAATGGATATAATAAACATCTAAACAATTAAACATTGAGAGATAAACAATCATAAGAAAATATTGCTGTAGGCATATCAACAATTACAACCTCCTTTTAAGGAATAGGAATTTGACAACACTCGTTAATATATTTACATCTTAGTTTCGTATACAACGCTTATCAGAGAAAATGTAGCTTAATTAACCTTAGTTTGTTTTAATTAAAACGGACAAAATAGTTGCTTAAAAATCAATAATTAAACATATCTACTTTTCATATATAGCACCAAATTATTATCTCAGGCTAAAGTTCATAAGTTGATAGACAAATTATTTTTATAAATGACGATTATTGTTATTAAAAATGTAAACTCTATCAGATATTTATATTTAATGTAGAACTCCACTGCTCAACACTTATACGAATAAATATTGTCATCCTTTTCATTGCCTTTTATAAAACAGAGACAACGACATATATCAATACAAGTTATGGCAGTGGAGAACGGTTTTCAACATTTAAACATACGAGACAGAATTTACATGAGTTGCCAAAGAAACCAGCTTGTTCAAGGTAACGCTTATACCAAATGTATACGTAAATAAACATTGCGAACCTGTCCGGCTTACGAAATTACATCGCTTAATGCCACAAAAATATAATGTACCCAAAAATAAAACTTCTCTACATATGATTTTATCAATGGAAAAAATATTAATGGAATAAAGGAAGAATGAACAGGCTGTCCTTTGAGTTCTTTTTACATTAAACGAGATTATTTTTTTTTTACTATAAGGCTTTATGACGAGACCGTATAATGTATCTGCCGAATGTTTATATCTGTCAAAATTTTAAATTAATTTGAAATAATAAAAACAAATTAAGATATTTTTATCGGTTTTGCTGGTTTAACCGTTCTTTTTCTCATAAGGCATCATCATAAACTAATTAAAATACGATGTTTACTTGTGAAATAATAAAAAAAACATACATGTGGATTTATCAGCGTTGACATTTGCACAGATTATAGTAACGCACACTAGGATATATTTCAAAGTCACGGTCATCGTGACCAGCCGCGACCGAATCCACACACAACTGGCCAGTAACACGGCCACAACACTTTTATATGTGCATCTTATCTTTTGTTATTATATTCCTAGTTACGCCGGTATTAAGAAAAAAACAGGAAACTCGCATTTTAATAACGGTTCATGGGTTACAGTCAATATTTTATTAAAATGAAAAATGCATTTTCACTCTAAAGTATCTTCTGGTCCTTTAATGGGTCCAAAAAAAACAGGCAAAGGCAAGGACAAACATCTATTTAAAGCACAGCTAGCAAATATATGAATTCCATAACCTAACTTTTTGATATATGTCATAATGGTTAAATAACAACCAATATTCTTTAAAAAAACATTTACTATAATTGCCGTAATATTAATTCTTCAAAAGTACGTTAAATCGTAGTGTTACATCATCTTTTTTAATTCTAGTTATTTTTTTCCTTGTCTATGTCAATTCGTTTAATAGAAGTTAATAGAAGGAAGCACTATTGGGATCAATAGAATAATTTGTTTATAAACTTTTATAAAGTGGCTAATGTCGACAAGTTGGCTAACTGCCAGTAACGCAATAAGTGTATTTACAATTTTGCTGCTTACATGCTCGAAACCATCGCTATCTCAGTTTTATCAAAATAATAGAGAGGGATGACAAATATATTTTTGTATGAGGGTCATGATGACAATTGAATTTACGTGATATTTTTATTTTTATAAATTATTTCTATAAAATTATTATTAAGTATCATTGAGCAATTTCTATTTGTGTCCAAGAAAAAAACATTATTACAGGAAAACCACAAAAGTATCATGATTCAAGTTTATACAACCTGGAGTTATTTTTAAAGAAATATAATATGTAATTATGTTATGGCTTAAGCAAATATCGTGTTTGGCTGAAGTTAGTAAAAATTAAAGTAAACTTCACTTTTAAAATAAAAAAAAGGATTTTTTAAATGCTATTAAAAATTAATTGTTAGAATTTTATTTATTAAAATTGCAGATAAAACCTCTTTTGTCAATTTGAACGAATATATCAGGCCATTTAAAATTAAAAATAATAAAGACGAAAAAGAGGTATTTTATCGCGTCATTTATAAAAAAAAATCATTACAAATGTAATAAATTCACTTAATTATCTAATAATTTTATAGTTTCTTTTTTTACCTGTAAATTATTTATTTTTTTATTTTTCTTCAATTTATGTTGTTTTTTTTTCATAAAGTTACAAGCTCCTAATTTATCCTTATAAAGAACTTAATGATGGCGGTTGGTGATTTGTCAAAATATTTTTAGTAAACAATGGTGTCTAATTGTGAGATTTGAATAAAATGGATTGGATACATTGTAATAAATGTTTCGTGCAGTTAGAACAAGGAATTTTTTTGCACCTCACATCATGCGGTCATATGTTTTGCAACAAATGCCTGGAAAATGGTTGGTAACAAATTAAACATTGCATTTTTAGGTTATAGTGTAGAGTTAAATTTAATATTTTCATTAACTTTTAGGTATATCGCAAAATACTTGTTTTGTATGTCGAGTTCCATGTACTACTATGAAATTAGTACCTGATGTAAGTAATTAAAATATTCGCTAATTGAGGTTAAGTACAAAATTGCGATCGGAACATATTTACTAACTATAGTCATTTTAGATGAATTCCGATGTACAAGATTACTTTACTGATCCAGAAGAAATTATTAAAAAGTCATGGGAAGTATTGCGCTTTCAAAAACAACACAGAAGAAGGTTATTATCATACTTATTACAATCGGTAAGTAAGCATTTAAATTTGCTATTTATAATTAGCTTGAGTTTTCAATTATTAGACAACGGTCATCATTGATTTGCTGAGAATCGAGAAAAATGTGTCAAATAATTTCGAATATTGCCATATTATTGAATAAACGTAATAAAATAATTAAACAGTAAAACGCTTGCTTTATTTATTTTATACTAAAAGAGCTTCATAATATTTTAACCAAACAATGAGCAATAAGTAAACATATAATACTCGTCTGCTGCTGGAGCTTTAATTAGAGTCTCATTTGATTATGTAGCGCGAATTTAATTAACCTCAATTAACAACACGTCCCTTACAAAAGAAGGCTCTGAATCTTCTTTTGTAAGTGAATCGATTAAAATGTAGAAATCATATTGTTTCGTTATATCCACGTACCTATCTGACTGAATTCGAACCCGAAACCCGAGTTTGGTTGCATGTTTCTAACCGAAAATTCATGCCATATATGAAAATAACACAAGCTTTTCCGTTATTCTGATTTTAAATTGTTTACCAGATCAGAAAGCGGTCATCATCATCTCCATGTCCATGTCTCACTTACGTAGGTCGGTTAACCAGATTTCCGTTTACCATATCAATCTATCTACCGTCAGTTCAGTCTTTATCCCCTTCTTAATCATGTTCTACCTTTATTTGTGTACACACTCAAACTTACAAAGAAAGCGATATTTAATTTATTAACTGTGAATTTTATAATCTGTAATTTAAAATGTTTAAAATATGTACTATGTAGTTTTCATCTTTTATTAATAACAACAGACTAAAAAGTTTTATACTGCACGTACGGAGCTCAAACGTATGCAAGAATTATGTCAGAAACAACATAAACAGATGAAAGAGTACCAGAAGCTCATAAAACATTTGGAATCAAAACTCGTTAATCAGACAAGTGAGTATTAAAATTTTTACTATCGCACTCAGAGTCGTTTTAGGTGGACCGTAAGTATAGATTTGGTATGAGAAATCTACCACTTACTTCTTTTTCAGTACATATTTGGACTTTAAATAAGAACAACACCAAATCGTAAAACACCAGTTATTACTACTAGATATGTCTAGTTCGTAACCGAAGCTAATGGTATTTGGTTAGTAAAAACATCGCGAATCTAAGGATTGTAATTATACTTTTGTAGGAAAATTTACAAAGTCTTCTCTGTAACTTAATTGAATCTCTTTGGCTATCTCAGTTACGACTTCTAATTATAATGAAATATGATTCAATTTATCTTTCCTTGTAATTGTTAATGTTTCGAAATGTTATTAGATTTAAATTCTAATGTCTAACTTTACAATGCCAATTTAAACTGTAATATAGGGGTTGATCTGTTTGCAGTTGGAATAATCCGGCTGGGGCTTGTGACCTCCAATGAAAGTAGGGCAGGCTGGAATGAATTCGTACGCCTATAGCTCTACGTTAATTAAAATGAGTCTTATGTTTTTAGAAAATATTTGTGTTTATAAATATTTGCTTTGATAATATTGAAAGCTTTATTCTAATAAGTTTTATTTGTCGTCTTTACTAACTATAGGCCAGTGTTACATTTGACATAAAAACTTTTTCTAAAAGTACGCGTCCATTGGCATCGCGTGTACGGCCCGCAACGGATTTTAGTTAGCTTTGTATGATTTCACATAGCGTTGCGTCCATCATCCGCGATCCAGTATCGCGCATAAATCAGGCCAATGGATGCGTACCTTTAATCGTCGTTGTATTTCAGAACAACTATCGCCATTCAACGTACCAATATCTCCAAGCAGCAATCTATCTCCTGGCTTCCTTCAATCCACGCCTACATACAAGCGTGCAGCAAAAAGCACTCCATACAGCGTAAGTTTACATTATTAATATTATAAATGCGAATGTTTGGATGGATGGATGTTTGTTTGAATGTATCTCCAAAACGGCTCAACGGATCTCGATGAAATTTGGCATACATATAGAACATACTCTTGAAGAAAACATAGGCTACTAATTGTGTTCTTTTACTAACGCGGACGGAGTCGCAGGCGAGAATACTATACATTTCTTCTTATATATAAGTGCGTATTTTTGATCGACTCTTTTGACTTTTTCATATGAAGATTAATTTTCCGTTTTTCTCAAGTTTTTTATTTACGTTTTATAGTTTGGAAAACATTGCATGAACTTTTTTAATTATTCATTTTCTAAATTTTAATGTATTTCTTCGATCTTACATCGCACGCAAAAAACTGATTTGATCCACCCTTGCTTTGTCGATTATATGACTCATTTTTTAATTGTATTTCTTCAAAGATGCAAAAGATATATGTGCAGCACATTATATTCCATAACAAGACACAAAGAGATAAATGGATAGGAAAAATGTGACCTCATTTTTTCACAATCGCAAAGATACGTTCCGCTGCGAATCATCCCAGATCGATAAAACACGCGACCCTTTCAGCCGGGATATGTATTACATTCTTTGGTCAATGGACATACCTTCAAAATAGAAAAAGCAACTTAATTATATAGTACTTAATTGATTGCATTGGTTGTTATCCATATGCATTTGATTTGATGATTGAAGCATAGCAGACGACCTGGCTTCTTCCCTTCTCTTCTTCCATTTTCATCTTCTTTCTTCGATTAATATTGATGGCTAGTAATATAAGAGTACATCGTCCTATTCTTTGTAGACAAATATCCAAAAGAAATTGTAGTATTGTGTGTATGTATCGTTTTATTCCGACCGTTTGTTTATTGGCTGTTCTCCATTCGTCTCGGTAAGTTAAAGTGACGTGGATTAAGTTGGAAGCTGTATCGTTGCAGCTGTACGATTTAAGCTCAGAATTCTTGCAGTAAGTAGATTATACGCTTTAAATATTGCCTTAACTCGAGCTCGCTTGGACGTTCTTTGCCAAACTTGCAGATTTCAGATTATAAAGTAAGACGGGCTTGGAAATTTGCTACAGTTTAATTTCTTTTTCATTCTTAGAATAGCTACAGTATAAAAGGGGCAAAGATAATTTGGTTTTTAAACAGAAAATCTTACTAATAAATGCGAATGTTTGGATTGTAGATGGATGTTTGTTTGATGGTATGTAGGAAGAAAAAGTCTACTAATTAAGCTTTTTTTTAATACCGGGCGGACAGAGTCGCAGGCGACAGCTAGTTATGATATAATTTGGCGTTCAATGTTATCATACCACAAATAATTACTATATGTAAATGTAATATTTCTCATTGCCTAATTTACTGATATAAACTATTTAATAAATATTAAATAAAAAAAAAACTTTTAATGTGATTGAGTTATCGCTGGGAATCCCCAGTTTATAAAAAAACATGGACGTGTAGTAATTGGTAATGTTCCGACAGCAAACTTATCAATCGAACCTCGTGACCCCTTCAAGGATAAGCAGGAATAGATCTAGCAGTAGCGCACACAGTCAGGTAAGTTTTTATAACTATAAAATTTTAAATCTAATAATCTAGGTTATATCTAATAGAGGCCATCACTAACTTCATAGAACGTTTTACCTTTTTTTTAATTATTTCTTATGTATTATATCAAATCTAATGCATGATGAGTTTTTACCACTTAAATCCACCATAATGATACATATTTTAGAAAGCAACCTTTTTAAACTGTCTTCATGTGAAATAAACTTTTTGAAATTGTATAATTTTTAAACAATAAAGATTACTCGTCCATTACAGACTTACTTTTTTAAAGTGCTTATCTTTCTTACGTCATGTAATAAACATTAACAGTAAATTACAAAGGTGGTTTAGTTCAAATGTTATAAAATAGTAAAGTCAGATAAGAGAGAAATCAATTTAAATGGCGATCGTTACACGGTTAATAGTATTAGTACGGATAGAAAATACTTTATTTTATACGTTAATAAATTGTAACAAAGATTAGATTCTTAGGCGGAATAAATATAACACAAACAGTAAATACGCTTGCTTTTGCAGTATATACGTTTTTATTATTTAATGTTTTTTTTAAAGAGTGTAAAACATAAATAACGGACAGAAGTACAAAAAATATCTCTTTACAATTTCATAACATGGGTTCGTTTACCCTATGTCAAAATGTTACGAGAGTTTTTACGAACGGATTCAACCGAACTCGGAATGAATTTATGTTGTTTACATTATAATGAAATAATCTTCGAGATTAATATTTTTTTACATTAATTAGTTAGTAAGAGCGTCGGTGGCTCAGGGGTCAAGCACTTGACTTGCAATCGGCAGGTCCTGTGTTCGAATCCCGCCATGTACCAATGTGTTTCTCGATTTCCGATCTACATAGGTACATTTATCCCACGTTCTTACGGTGAAGGAAAACATCGTGATGCAACCTGCACATATCTGAGAAGAAATTCAAAGATATGTATGAAGTCAACCAACCCGCACTTGGCCAGTGTGGTTGACTATGATTAGGCAATCACCCTTAACTTAGGGTAGGCTCCGAGCCCCTCGGTGGGGACTTATAATGAGCTGATGATGATGATTAATTAGTTACAAAGTCTAACGTATTGCCTATAAAAATCTTTAGCTTTTTCAAAAAGACGAAAAAAGTAAGATCTCACGTCTTAAATATCGAATCTTCGTAATGTGACGGCTGATCGAAATATTTGAAAGAGGAGTACACACTGTGACAGAAAGGGATAGAATGATGATGACGGTCTGTGTTAAATTTATTACTCCTGCGCAGAAGTTTTGGTGTTGGCCTCATGACGTCACGCATTAACTGAAGCTGCAGACAAGCGCTGTGTTAAGGTACACGTCCATTGGCCAGTGCCGGACGCACCGCACTCATAGGTCTCAACGAATTTTAATTTTCTTTGTATGATCACATCAAGATAAAGCAAATCCATTTAATCCGTGAGGTGCGGCGGCGCGGGCTAATGGACGCGTACCTTTAGGGTGGGAGTTATTGGTAAACATTTTGCGCGCGTCTAATAGTTGTTTTCTCTTCTAGAGATCCAGCACATCGAATAGGATATCATCGACGGTGTTTACCCCGCCAACGCAGGAGTCGGCCGGGTACATCAATTTTTTAAAGCACCTCTAACGGTATTAAACAATATCAAGAAGCTCTCGATGCATTGCGAATAGAATATTATACTTAATGTGGGTTTTCACTGACCAACTTGTATTAATGATTATATCATCCCACTTTAGAACACGTCAATAATTTTTAATACAAGTGTCTTAGCAGTAGAATTACAGGTTTAGTTGAATACTTTTTACAGTACGTGAAGATGCTTGGCTTATCACCTGAAGGTTCTAAGTTCAAATATCAACTGATTGATAGTATAGATACGTGTGGTTTCTAAGGCACCAATTCTGAAAAGAAAATTTCGTTCATCGTTTTATCGTATTTAATTTTTTACTTACTTACTGAAGCTTAGATTTCTTGCTTTAAGTTAAATCTTTCTGATGGAGAATTTCTATATTTTCTTATTCATTTCGTTTTGTTTTTAGGAATCAAAATTACGATTCTGGTTACTACTCTAACGGTAGTTTCACAGACAGCCTGCCTAAGAAATGTTGCATACTGCAGGGACTTCATTGGAAAAAGTTTATTTAGTATTTATCTCAACTATTAAGCTAATAATTGATTTTTGTTTTAGGTTAAGAATTCTATTGTTTATTAGACTAAGATACAATTGCATGAATTTAGAACTTAAGGTTTAATAAATAGATTCGCATGTCATCCTTTTATTTCCGTTTTTTCTGACCTAAAATTTTCTGTAGTATATTTTATGTTTGCTAATTTTTACTATCTTCCCTCGGTATCTTTCTAAACGTCTCTTCTATTCTATTAAAGAAATCTAAAGGTATAGTCCCATATTACCTTTATTAAAAAAATCATTAGGAAGGGAAATAAATTAAGGAATAAATAATATGTAAGGAAAGATGTAAATACCAGGAACATATATAAATTAACAAGTCAACTTTTTATCAAGGATAAATTTGTAGAACAATAATGGATGTTTTAAAAGTTATAATGAAGCAAGCCTTATGGAATCTTTATTTACTTGAAACGCAAACAATGTTTGTATAATAAAATATTACTTCGTCCTTTTTTACTTTTTAATTAAAAGGAATTATTTAACTAAAGAAAGGTTAACTTAAGAAAAAAACAAATGATGTTCATCATATTTATTTGGTCTGTCGTATCTTTATCGCCGGTTTTCGTAAGTTAATGAATTGGCAATATAGCTTTGTTCTGCTGGTATCCCCCGGACGCCTCCTGATGACCGTGGATGGAATGTGCGCCCAAATTGTTGAACTTTTCCAACTGTTCCGCGCCACCTTTGTACCCTTTCTGAAGAAATTCTCCCTGAAAAAGACACGAATTTTATTTGCGTCTAAGATAAAATTGATTTAAACCTTTTCCAATTTTTGAAACTTCATTAGAATTTCGTTAAAAAAAAGAAATACTGAATATTCTCTAATAATTGCTATCTTTTGTAGTACTCGTATTATAGGAATTTTAATATTACAGTACAAGACATCTGTTTAATTTTAAATCTTACCTTATTAGCCTTAGTATCATCAATCTTATGTTCAGATAAATGGTGTCCTTCTTTGCCCTGCGAGTTGGCATCGAGTACCTTCTCTTCATGTGCACCTTTGAATCCATGCTGCGACTGCTCTCCAAACGACCCGGCGTTTTGACCAGAGACCTTATGGTCGGCTTCATCGTGAGCCTCATCATAGAAACTTTCAGATTTCTCTTCTTCATTTTTACTGCTTGAAGTTTTGAATCCCTTGCTCACGTGGCCTTTCTTATGGCTCTTTGCTTTCTTGATATGTTCTTCGTTGGCTCCTGGAAGTAACATTAAATAGTAAGCAGGTTAGTTTTAAAGAAAAACTTTTTTGGTCTATTCATATCCATAGCACTGTAGTGGCCTAATAAATAACCAATTTTTTCTAACACAAAGTTTTATACTTTTAGTCAAAGTAAAAAAATATTTTTATCATTTTACGAAAATTTTCTTACCTTGTTTATCGATTTTCTGTCCACCTTCATAAAACTTCTCATCACCTGCTGCTTTCTTTTTTGCCTCTTCTCCTTTGTAGAAACCAGATTCACCTTTTTCCGACTTCGCCGCTTCCGCCGCCTGCTGGAAACCTTCCTGACCGTGTTTTGCTTCTTCTTCCACCTTCTTTTCTACTTTTTCAATATTTTCATCGGCATCTTTCTTCTGTGCGGCATCATAAGCTTTCTTATCTAAGTAACCTCCACCGGCAGCTCCCAAGATGGGATGATAAAGAAATCCATTCCCAACACCATAGCCCCCAAATCCTCCAAGACCAGCGAGACCGGGGTTTATATAACCAATCCCATTCGCCAGACCTACGCCGCCCGCGCCAATGCCTTGTCCTCCAAGGCCACCGACTCCAATACCGCCGTTATTGAGTCCTATTCCTCCAGCTCCAATACCACCAAAGCCAATACCACCTACACCTCCCAAACCGATTCCTATTCCTTGACCAATCCCTGCTCCACCCAATCCCCCTAGACCACCGAAGCCTAGTCCTTGACCCAATCCAACACCACCAATACCTGTGACTGTATTCAAAACTGTAGAAGCTGCTCCTTTAATAGCTTCAGGATAGTCTTCACTTTCTTCTACTTCATACGAATTCGATAGTGGCAATCCAGACCGTGCATCCATACCGATGGCATCTAAACGCTCATTCACATAATCGTAAGGCGTCTTTTCATCGGCTAACTCCACTTTTTGCAAGACCTGTCCATACGCCAAAGCACTGAACGCAAATATAAACACTGTTACCAACATCGTGCTTACCGACACAGTTCGACTGATGACATTTCGGAATTGCGTTGATCATTTATACTGGACCCAACAACCGTGGAACGAAGTTGGTATTTTACGCGGATTAAATCTGTGATAGTTTTCACGAATTTTAGGGCTCGAAGCGTGGAAGTTGTACGCTTCCTGTGGTATTGTCTTTTCTAATTGAAATGAAAACGTAACTCCTAAATCACAATGATTCGGTCAGAGACCTTGTTTTCCAGTTCATTGGTGGCGGCAGTGGGGCATTGGTGTTGCGAAAGCTGGTATAGGTAGGTGACACGTATTATTTGTAATGTTTTTATTACAATACTTTCTGGAGTCTTAACGGAAAACCCGAAGCAGATTATTTCCTATTATTACCATTACAACGACTATCTGTCCCTTAAATATTATTGACAACTGGGACGATATCTGATATGTGTTAATGAGATAGTTATTCATCGTCATCGTAAAAAATAAAAATATGACATACCTGCGTAAGTACTTCTTCCTTACATATATGAGACGCTTTTTATGTACATTTTAATTTCCTCATAATTATGACCATCTTCTTCTTGAATCAATATCTTAAATGCTGAAATTCTTCATCTAATTTAACCAATAACATGGAATATACTTTCATTTTTAGTCTTTAATTTTAGATATTACTAGTATGCATTATACGTCATTTTTTAATAACCTGAAAAAATCTAGAATGCTCAATTGATCATGTTAGTTGTTTTTTTCTTTTCCATATTCTGGCCTTGTGTCATAGTCAGTGATTTCACGTTTTCTTACTCGAAAATATATGTCGAGGGCTTAAAGTAAGGTTAATTGATTGGTTTGAATCGACCGTTTATAAGTCACCCAATTGCAATCGATGACCGCGAAGAATAGTGATTATAGAACTTAACTGATTAATAGTATTAAATTGAAAAGACATTTTTTATACGTTTCTCGACATATTTTAAAAAGAAACCAATACGCAGTGCAAGGTTTTCGATACAATTATACCATACTGCTCAAATCATAAAGGCAAACTTTGTTCACAAACACGTTAAATTATAGACATGTAGTACAAGATATACTTATTCGATTAATAATAATTTGGGTCACGATTTGTAATAGGTGCAACGCCTGTGAAAAAAATATAGCAATTTATTCAATTTGATTTTTACTATTGACAAAACGAAAGTGGAAATGTTAAAAGGTGTTTGTTAAACTTTCTGAGAGCGCGGCAGTGTCCTCGTTGAACCTTTAATTATTTTCTAATTTATAATTATGTATTTTGTATGTTTGTATTGAAATGTATACCCATAGGAGCATTAGTAAGACATGTTAATTTAAATCTTTGTATGATACTTAAGTTCCTTCCTTGCACATATCGTACCACAACTATGATAGGGTGAAAATTATTTCGTCTGATTGATAAATTATACCAAATGATTCTTGCTTCAGAAATGTAAATAAGTGAAATTAATCTGTTACCAAATCTGGATAAAACATTTATTGCATTCGCAAAAACGATGACAACATAAACAATGGAAATTGATCGTCAGTTGCCGCAAAGGTGAAATAGCCAACAAAGATATAAATTGCTCCGTGTGGAAACGATTTCGACGTTATCACAACGACGGCTCCCACGTATATGGTAATAACTTGTTTTTTCAACAAAATTCATTTTTGAAAAATGAGTTAGGACTTATTTTTCATGCTTCTCGGACTATGCTAAGTCTTACTACGAAACAAAATTGAATAATTTCTTGGAATCATATGATTTTGATAGAATTATAATATCGACACAGGTACATACTACATATGTCAATAACGTTCAATAAAATGGATTTTATGAAAAATCTATTTTTTTGGGTTACGTCTATATGTTTCGTGGCTTCGAAATTGTCCTGCATCGGCTAACAATTTTATCACCGGTAGACGACGCGGCGTCAGAGTGGCACAATTCTGCTGTCAGTTTGTACCACGGCATTAGCCAATCTCGCTAGATAATGGCTGCATCGCAGAAATTCGCAGTGGACATTATTCAATAGCCAGTTTCTATTACGCTGGCATTTTGTTATTTTAAATTCTGTTTATTTTTTTTATTATGTAACGTTCTAATTAATTTTAATTAGAATGGAGTTTCTTTTTGTTTAAAAGACACATATTAAAAAAAAAAACCAAACGAGCAATTCTCATAAAAAGTTGCAAGTCTTTGTACAACTTTAGCGGTTGCAAGCATATTTAACACAAAGTAATCACGATATCTATCATATTTTTCATTAAATGCGTATACTATTCCTATATTTTCATTACATGCATTAGGAAACACCTTTGATTCGTAATATATGATTACATAGCGGCAACATGTAAACTAGATATTTAATAGTTAGGGCATAGGAGGTCGACTTGATTAACGAGCAAACAAAAACACTTACTCGAACATGGTGAAGTAAGCATGGTGATGTAAGCATAGGTATAAATTTCACTTGTTATTTAGTATTGCCTTCTCTATATTTATCTACATCTATAAATATTACACAAGCTATCGCATATTCGCTTCATATGGACTTCCTTTAGTATCCTATCACTTGCTTACAGGGTGACCTTATAAGAAAACATATTACATTAGGGAGAGATTTGAAAGTGACTTGGCTATTATTTACAATTATAGAACACTTGCTGTGCTTTAACATCTTCGCACGAATTGGCCCGGCTCGCCCGGTGAAATACCACGACCACACGGAAGACAGGCGTCAAGTGGAAGCAATTCCGCGTTTCGTCTGATGAGTGTGCGTCCCAGAGGCCTAATTTAGTCCTCTTACCCTTTCCACCCTTTTTCTTATAAGGAAAAAATGGGAAGTGGAAGTGGACTTTCAGGATGAGAGGGTGCATGGAAAGGGAAAATATTTTATCTTTCTGTGCATCCTCTCCTTTGTCGATTCTTTCGAGAGGATTTACCTACTAACTACCTACCTACCTACCTTTGTAGGCAACGCATATGCAATTGCGTGTCTATGGGCAACGGTCACTTCGCTATATCAGCGATTTCAGGTGGCCGCTCACTCGTTTGCCACCTTATGATATAAAAAAAGCACTAGTTGTCGCCCGCGACTCTATCCAGCGGAATTAAAAAAAAATTATTAGCCTATGTGTTTTTTCAGACTATGTTCTCGATGCCTAAATTCAGCTATATCTATGCATCCGTTCCGGAAACTTTCAAGCAAATCATCCATCCATCCATTCAAACATTCGCATTTATAATATTAGTAAGATAAGATTATTACTGACAACTTGTATTAGTTAATTGAATTTGTAACGAAACTTTTACAAAACCTATCTTAAGTTTGAAAGTGGAAATTAAATTTAGACTAAATTTTTAACTTGTTAACTCAATTTGTTTACAAAGCTATTGTGAAAACGGCCAGCTCTTGTTATAAAGTTTTAGTAAATCTGAAGCGAAGCAAATCAAGTTACATTAAACTTATACAGACACCTGTATAAGTTTGTAAGTCGAGTTGTTGAATAAAGTGTCTTTTAGACTGTGAACATTATTTTGTTTTTTCTATTTACAGTTAAAATCTTTCATCTTATTAATATTATAAATGCGAAAGTTAAAATAGATGTTTGTTAGAAGGTATCTCTAAAACGGCTTAACTGATCTTAGAAGGAGTCATAGATGTTAAACATAATCATAAAGAACACATAGGATACTTATTATTTTTATTTTCAAAACTGTGTGGACGGAGTCGCGGGCAGAAGCTAGTAATTGTATAAAACATCTTGTCATCCCTTTTTTTTTTCAGAGGGGAATGCTTTATGCATACTCCGCGCCCCGGGGGGGACGCGGTAGTTATGTGGGATTCTCCTCCATAGCGGAGGCATACCCACTAAACCCCTCTGTTCCTCCAACGCATCGGGACGGGACCACGGGCACGCTTTCGCTCTCGTCCGCGGCAATCTTGTCATCCCTGTCATTCCCTTTAACAAAAACAGAGACAAAATTTAATCAAATTAAAAACAAAAAGTTTTACATACAGACATTGTACGTAAAACTTTTTTTTTTTTGTTAATCTGCGTTGCAGAAGTCCACTAGCTACGGCTAGAAAATAAATACAAATGTAACCGCAGTGACATTTTCAATAAAATAATACTTTTACAAAGAAACTAGCTGTCGCCCGCGACTCCGTCCGCGCGGGATTAAAAATAGATGTTGGCCGATTCTCAAACCTACTCAATATGCTCACTAAATTTCATGTGATTCGGTCAAGCCGTTTCGGAGGAGTATGGGAATGAAAATTGTGACACGAGATTTTTATATATAAGATATAAGTAGAAATGTAAGTAAAAATAACGTAAATTTCAGTGTTTTTTTTTATTAAACGGCTTTTCTTTAATTTTAACTTCAAAAAGTTTTAATATAAAAACATTTTTAAACTACATTTAATAATAGGTAAGTTAAGCATGTATTTAAATGAGCTTTATATTGGAACTATTTGCTAAATATCCAGCACAAAAGCGGCAAGTCGTCTCCTCTGAATATATTCATGAGGTTCCATCAATGCCCAGAGAATTGGAATTGGTTGCCTAGGTGAATACACTGCGAGTAATATATTCTACACAATTTAAATCTTTTAGATCTAAGATTCCCAAACTTGTCGTAAACCCCCTTTCAATGTTACTCCTAGCTCTAGCTGGGACTGTTGAAGCCTCTTTTAACTTAACTTTGGGTATCTGGATAAGATTCTCTTAATTATTTATTTAAAGTTTAGTTATTAGCATTTTATATTCTTTGAAATAAAATATTCGTAAGGTTTATTTGTCTGCAGCGAGCTTTATAAATATTCTGCCTTTACCGTCTCTATTTGACTCGGAGTGAAACGAACTAGAATTTTTTATTCATTAAAACTTTATTCAAACATTTTGAAATTGCAAATTGCACATTACCTCTCATAAAAATGTACATCAGTGTGCGTGCACATAATCCAATCAAAAATAAAAAAAGA